GGGGCGTGTGTTAGCCTTGGCCTTACGGCCGGGGAGAACGCCGTGAGCCTCCTTTCCCTGGTGGGTTTCCCCGTTGCTCCCGGAGCAGCCTCATTTCCACGGTGGCGGCTGGTTTCGGTGAAAATACGGTCCCCCTTGCGAAGAGCAGCGTCGGGAATTAGTCCTCGCCTAACGTTTGCTGTACCGGGCGGGTGGGTGCTGGGGGCAGAGGGGCAGGCTGCCGTGTCCAGGCGGGCACCTGCTCCCCGCCACCGCTGTGCTCCCACCGCCCGAGCGCCCGAAACCACGGCAACGGTGCCCGGTGTTTCTCCCTTGCGAGTGGAAGGAGCGAGGGCTGATGGAGCTCTATTAGAGGCAGGGCGCTCTGCCAGGTGAAGGAGGCCTCGTCTAGCTGGGAGCTGGGCCACCCCGCCCCACGGTCTCTGCCGTGGGCTGGGGGCCTGGTGCTGTATGGCCGTGGGATGGAGGTGCCTCCCAGCTCTGAACTGACTCCCCGAAACGGCCGGCGGCTGTAAGGCATTATCACCGGAGCTTCAAAAGCTGGAACTTGTCCATGCCCAGTTCACCGCCTTAATGCTATCAGGCAGCAGGGCTGTGGAGCGTGTACTGCAGTTGTATGGGGATGGAGCTTTCCCAGAGTTCAGGAGACTCTAGGGAGACGAGGAGCCATCTTTATAGACCGTCCTTTTAGCGGTGACCTAGGAATTTCCATCTCGTCAGTGCCCTGTGGGATCCGCTGCATGATTGCTTTTTCCAGGGCTTTGTCAGCCCAGTGTTACGTGATGAAATTTGGCCTTGTTCTGTCCTTCTAAAGCTAGGATTGGTGGTTCCTGAACAAACCTTGCTTCGGAGAGTGGTTCTGCACCAAAAAACATGCATGGGGTTTTGTTCTCCCTTTCCTAGGGCTGAGGTGATTAAAAATCTTTGTTCTGCAAGGTGCTAGATGTACAGCTCACTATGTGAAAAACTGGTTGGCACAGCTCTTCGTTCCACAGCCACGTGACCTTGTCAACGTTTGAGTGCTGGCTGTAGTTTTTCCTTCTGTCTGTGTATTTTGAAGACTGAATTTTATTTCACCTTTTCTTCATATTTGTTGTTAGAAAATGAAGACTCGGCCCAGAAGACAGAGCTTGCAGATGAGCTGGTTGATTCTTTGGAGTCCAGTACTTCACAGAGCGGGTAGGAAAATCCTTTTGTGTATTGTAGCCAACATGCATGACAGTCTGTTTCACCCCTGTAACCTCTTGCCTATGGCAGTTGATTCTGTGCAGGTGAAGAGAAGGGACTGGAAACTGAATTGTCTGCTTTGGGACAGTATATACTGAAATCAGTATAGGAAGGGATGTTCTTAACAGGCTTAAGGTTATTTTAAAGCTTATGAAATGATGACGTGTAGTTCATGGCTCAGCTATTCAAATCACAGAATCATTCAGCTTGGAAGGAACCCTGCAAGGTTTTTGTAGCTGGAAATTCTCTCTGAAGGATACTTTAATAATTAAGCATTTCCACTGTCTGTAATTCTGGTGGAAGCTGAGCAAGAAAACACCTTTTACTGTTTTCTTGACAACGTTTTGGTTTTTTTCTTCATCCTTTGTTTTCTGTGTCACTCCTTCATTAATGCTGCTGGTTGACCCTGTTAGCAGATGTTTGGCTTGTTATTATCTGTTGGGCATGTGGTGCTTGTGGCCAAGTGATTGCATGGTTACAAACACTAATACTGCATGCAGTGGAGTTTCATTTGCCATCATACGTTGGTTGCACAGGTTACAATTTCAGAAATGTGTGAGTTAATTATATCAGACAGTAGATAAACCACAACTTCACTGAAAAAGAGGGGGGGAAAAAATTCCAGCAAAAACTCCAACAAACCACCCTACTTATTAAAACAGCAGTTTGATGCCATCTTGGCTTGATGCTAATGACATCTATATCAGCCTTCTTGACTCCAAGCATGTGTTCTTCCATCTTTTCGTTATGTCTTTTAATTTTCTTTGAAGAGATTAATACAGACTGTGAGCAAAATGGCCAAAGTAGGTGCTGGATGCTTGTGGATGTTATCTGATAAATTTGTCTAAGTTAGATCTCCATTTGAAAGGTATGGGGCAGGGTGTGTGTGTTCAAAAGGGGTTTGTGAGGAGGAATCAGCTGAACTCTGTCTTTGTAAATCTGCTTATAAAGCTTGTGTAGCTCTTCCTAGTCTTTCAGTGAGACTCATGGGATTCAGTGGTGTCTGGAGGAAAAAAATTCCCAAGCTGTTAGCCCCTATGTTGATGGAGAGCCTTTTGAGCAGATGTATGCACTTATGGTAGCAAGTGACCAAATAGCCCTTCTAGGTGTGATCGTGCAACTGCTATGCTAAAAAGCAAATGGGCTGGAAAATGATGGCATAGAGGTCCAAATTTGTCCTGAGAAATTGTTACAGACCACTGTGAGAGTTCTTCCTTTAAAAAATTGTTCCCTCCAAGTGTCCCTTCTTTCCTTATGTTGCCCATCTGCTGCCATTTTGTGTATCCTGGTATTCAGCTCATTTGAGTTGTTCTTACAAACCTTGTGGTTTATCATGCTGTTCCTAGGAAAGGAAATCACACTGTTGAGAGAATTTAAGTAAGAAATGGCTTTATTTCTGGATAAATTCTGTACCCCCATAGGAGTAAAGATTTGGAAACAAAAGCCACGTTTGTTGGGTTCTAGTCTTCTCTGTGAATGCCGCAAGGAATGTGTCTGAGTTGAGCTCTGTAGGTGTTTTTAAATTATTTTTTTTTAAACTATTCCACACTATACTCAGTCTGCTCCCTTGCTAATGAGAATGTTTCTTATTTCTGAAAGGAGACATTTGAGGAAATGCACGTATTTTTTCCATTACTGCTGTATTCTCATATTTCTGATCCTTTAGACCAAGGCAGTTGACATTGGTTTTATAGTGCTGTGGGAAGGCTTTGCTTTTCCAAAGGGCAACTGTTTCTATTCTTACTGAAGACTAGGTTGCTTCTCATGGAAGTTTCACATAGTATCTGAGGGAATGACAGAGGAGACTCTTCTGGCATCCATCTGAGTTTATTTGGGATAATAACTCTTCCTAGCTATAGACAATATGCAGCATTTTTTTAACATAATTTAGAAGAAAACCCTCAACAGAGAATGAATGCCAGAGATGTTTCCTTTCTTGCCTGTTGTTTTCCTGTTGCGTACCTTTCTTTTTGTTCTAACATGTCCATCTCCTCTTGTCACAGTGCAGTACTTGGACCTCTTTGCTATTATTGCGCTGCCGTTGTATGTCTTATGGCTTGCTTGTCTGTGCACCATATCTGAATATGGCAGAGAGACACCTGGGTGCTCCCTGTATCTCTTGTGATTGCTAATGGGCAAGGCATAATGGGACACTCAAATAGAGGGTGTTTTCAGCATGGCTGTCAAAACTGTTTTGAATTCTTTCACTGATCCAGTTGACCTCTAATGGAATATGCAGATGTCATGTAGCAGCTGGCATAAAAGGAGTTGTCCTTTCTTGAGCAGGAAAGTTGCTACCGCTTTCTGTACTTAGTACAGTGCTGGTGAGCAAGCACGCTGTGGGGCAAATGTGGTGAATTACTGCCGTCTAAAGGGCAGAGTATCTCACTGAAGTTGTTCCCTCTGGCTTACATGGAAGATGCTCATGTGAAGATGAGGGCAGGACTGGGGTGCAAAGGGCTCTTTGTGCAGTTGGCAGGTGCTGACCACAGACGCTTGTTCCCTTCAGTCCATTTGAATTTGAGTTCCAGAGCAGAGTGATTTCTCTGCTGGCTGTGCCCTGGGTGTGCATGCTGAATTCTAGTGCTCTCTTCCTCCAAAAGGTTGCAGACTGGGTTGCTCGTGAGTGCGGGTGCAATAAAAGATTTGAAAGAGGCCGGCACTCTGGAGGACCGGGAAGTGGCTGAACTAGAAGAGACACTGCCTGACCAAATCCAGTCCCTCAAAGAGGTAGGTGGGTGTTTCTTGTGTCTGAAAGTAAGGAGAGAGGTGCAGCAATAGTTCTTCCACCCTACTGCTGTGCTTATGGCTATGGGACTGAGGCTTTAAGGGTTGTGTTAAGACAGAAGTTGTATTAACATAGATTCAGTTACATTTTTTTTCTATACATTAGCAGGAGGTAAATGTTATCACTCTGATTTGTAAAATCCCTCTTGTGTCTCTGGCTAGTCCTTGCTTCCTTGCAATTTTTTTGGCTTGCTAAGGCTTCAAGGTTATTCTCACCTTCTGCCTCTTGTCTGGGACTTCTGGGAATTTCCCTTCTTGCAGGTTTATGGAAGAGGGAACTTAAAGTGACTCTGCTGTCTTTTCTTTCTTTTGGTGAGCAGCCAATTCATTTGCATTACAGATACAACTGGGAAAACCTGTGCAAGTGGCACCCAGCTCAGGAGCTGTGAGTTTGCATATATGAGGAGAGAGGGCTGGCCCTAGTGAACCAGATGGACTTTTAACTAGGATGCAGCAAATGACAGTTTCATTGAGGCTGAAGTCTAGAAGCACACAGAGCTGAAAGGCTCTCCCTAGAGAGATTCTGTCTTGGGAATTCCCTCTAAGAGTAGTCAGCTAAATCTGTAAGGCCATTACTTTGTTGAGAGGTGACAACTTGATTTGAGGCAGATGCAAAGACGTGCCTGCCCAGGGACTCCCATGTGCAATTTGTGAGATTAATGCAGCATTTGACTTCTAAGTTCATGACTTTGGTGCTGTGGGGGAAATAATGCAGAGAAGTGTCTTGAAGTTAGACAGTTCTTTTGAACTAATAGAAGCTTCTGGAGGGTCTGACTTGGCTTCAGAAGGATGCCTGAATTACTAATGAGTTGTTTTAAATCCAGCTGGGGACTTTCTTACCACAGTGGTCTTTGTGACAATGTTTATGTGCTTTATCTCAGGAAGCTGTTGTTCGGATAACCAACTACCATGTACCTCAAGGAGCAGGGGATATAGTCATGATTCAGTCAGATCACACTGGTGCTGTGGATATCCTTTCAGCTGAGCTGGAGACTGCAGACCTCCTTGGCGAGCAGAGGAAAGGTGAGTCCTGAAAGGAAAACGCTTGTTGGGGCCACTTTTTAAGTGCCTACCCTGGCTAGAGAAGAGCAGAAGCTGTCCTGGAGACACTGCTAATTCCTGCTTGAAATTTGGGCTCCTGGGTAGCGAGTGGGAAAACCTCACACCCAAGGCTTCTGGGAACAGGGTCCATAGTGCAAAAGACTTATCAGAAATAGCTTCACTGTTTTCAGATAACAATTTGTCAGCAGTGAAAAATCAGGTGAGCCCACGATCTTTTCCCTTGTCTCAGCTCAGCCTCCCCCTCTGGCTCCACCTACCATGTGGACCACTGAGAAGACAAAGGAATTCAAAGCCAAGATGGGAAAGGAGAAGAATGGCCGGATGGTGGTGAAGCGAGGCGAGGTGGTGACAGTCCGTGTACCAACCCATCCTGATGGGAAATGCATTTGCTGGGAATTTGCTACAGATGACTACGACATTGGGTTTGGGGTCTATTTTGACTGGACCACGGTTACTAGCACTGCCATTACTGTTCAGGTCAGCGAATCCAGTGATGAGGAGGATGAAGAGGAGGAGGAGGACATTGAAGGTTAGTGCAGAGCTTGTAAGGGTTAATTTGCGGTGCTTGTTGCCATGCTTCTGAGAGTGTCTGTCAGATGCTGTCATTTCCATCTACTTTGTTTACTCAGCCCACTAGTTATCTCTGCAGCCTTTTGGGCTCTTGGTTAGGCTATGATGAGAAAGCATTTATCCCTTCCTGCTTCAGTGTATGTCGATGGCTGTCCTTTTCCAAGAGCGTTCTGAAAATTGAACACATTGAAAAATAAAATCAGAATTCACCTGTTCAACTTATAGCTGATAGAAGGATTAGGGTCTGAAATTTTTACTTGACTGTTTTTCTCTGCCCCTCAGACTGAGAAATTTCTGGTGGTGTATAGGAGCAAAAAGCTACATCAGTAGTTCTGTCTGACTGCATTTGAGCGGATTGCTACCTGTGTCTTTGTACTTGTGAAACACACAGTGATGTTGCCTGTTCTGTGGCTTCAGTGTATGTGTGACCAGTGTAGCTGGGGGGTTGGTGTCTGAAATTAATTTTGCAGGTTCTCCAAAGAGTGGTAGGTTCCTGTATGAGGAACCCTCTTGGAAAAGTGAATGGAGGATATAAACACAGTGAGGTTATAGGTAAGAGCTTTCACGCCTTTCTTTTGCTTCAAGTCTGTATCACTGGACCACTGTTGATTGTGTAAAAGCAGTGAGGTGTCTAAAAGGTAAGCCCAGGGAGAGAAGACCAGGCTGGCAGGCAAGTGGATACTGTCACATCAGTAATCCCAAGAGAACCGGTTCCTGGTATGTCCTTTGTCACGATAAGGAAAGCTGGACTTCGTGGGTATTATTTGCAGAAAGGTGAGAGCAGATGTGACAGGTAATGCTATCATATTTAGTCTTCCATATATGTGCGTGCCTCTGCTGCATTCTGGCCTTTTTGATCTTTTTCTGGACTACCTAGTGGCTTAACTGGCACTGGCCTACTTATTTGTCTCCTCTTTCTCATTCAGGACTTGCCCCTGTTGGTGACGTGGAAAGGGGCTCCAAAAGCTATCTGCGGAACCGCTACGGAGAGATCATGCCTGTGTATCGGAGGAACAGCCATCGGGAGGTGCAGGCAGGCAGCCACGAGTACCCAGGCGAGGGCATCTACCTGCTGAAATTTGATAACTCGTACTCTCTCCTCCGCAATAAGACTCTGTTCTTTCATGTCTATTACACTAGCTGAAGAAACAGGAAGGGGCAGGGACGGCAGGCAGGTAATGGTGAGCATCACAGGCTGCCACCCAGCCCTGGTACTGCCTCATGGGCACTGCTGTGTGACAGAACCAAGGCACAACTCTGCCGGCTCTGCTTCAGACACTAACTGGTTTCTCCCCACACCCTCCTTCCCCGCTGTGCCAGTGGAGAAAGGTAGTTGTGACTGCCTGGTTGTCCACAGGCAGCTGCTCTTTCTGTAAAACTTCAGGAGGTCTGCTCTGTGCAGGCATCTGGCTGGGCCTTCAGGTCGCAGCCAGTAAATGCCCAGAGGCCAGGTTCAAGTGGTCATGGTTTTGATCTGTTGCGCTGGTACAAAATGAAGTGAAAATATTCTTGATCTGTCACTATTTTGTGAATAACTTTTCCGACTCTCCTGCTGCATCTGCGTCACTAGAGGGCAGCTGTCAGCTGCAGTGAGCCAAAAGCACAGCTGGTTTGTCACCTAGCCACCGATAATCTCATCACCTACCACCGCCACATGTCACCAGCAGCCAGTGCTTCCCTGACTCGTGTGGGTGGGGGTGCTGCTGGCCAGCAGCGGCCCTGCTATGGCACACGGGCCCCAAATGGCAGTCACGGCCCGTGCTTGAACAGGGGGTGATGGGAGGGCGCATGCTTAGAAGTCCATAAGAAGGTTTTCCTACAGATTAAGAAATTGGATGTTATACCTGTTGACTGTAGGGATATGTAGACTATTAAAACTTCAGGGACCACCGAAAGGTTTTTTTTCTGTAATCCACATGTGCATCAGAAGAAATTACTGCTGTGCTGAATAAACACAAAAAGGTTGGAGTACAACCAACAAATGTCCAGGAAATGTTTCTTAGTACCAGCATGTTGGTTCACTTGTATTTGATGCCAGCTGAATAATATATGTAGCAAGGAAAAGGCTCCCCAGAGAAGTGTAGCTTGTCAGCTGCTATCGCTGCTGTAAAGTTATTGTTAGAAAAGAAATCTCTGCTCAGAAACTCAAAAGGTGTGAGATTGGTTAAATCTTTTCTGTGAACCAGAATCAGCAAGGCCATTGCTACCCCTGACCACAGGGTAACGGATGGAGTTCCTTGGCATATTCTGTGGCTAGCGATGGCATTAGTGATCACCTTCTACTCAAGTACTGGCAGAGTTGAACAAGGATTAAGTTAATCCTTCAGAGATCAATTTTAAATCATGTTTATCTGTAACTGTTGTTTATTTTAATACTTTTAACTTCAAATCATTCTCTTTTCTAAGAATACTGCTGTATTTACATTTTGATACCTCTTTGCAGAGACACAAAATGGTGGTTTGCATGGTGATTCTAGTAGAGTTCTGAGTTTTATTTTTAAATCCTCCAGGTAAAGCACCTCTGCTTGGTCTGTTCCTTCTATTGTGAGGGAACCATGGACAAAATTATTTTGGGGTAGTTAAAGCCAAAGATTTCATTCTTACAGAAGGGTTGCATATTTCCTCTTAAGGCTACATTGTAATGCTGTGCAATTTGCTCCATACTCAAGCTCTTCTTTTAACTCTCTCTTGCTTACTTATTCACTGCCCCAGAGCACTTAATAGGTCAAAACAGTAAAAGAGCGAGCAGTCAGTCTACAGCAGAGCAGCCCAAGCTAGGAGCAGGAGTGGAAATGCAAGGAACGCTGGTTGGAGTGCAGTGGCTTTCTGGGTGAGCAGGCAGAGAGCAGAGTTGGTCAGGGTAAGGAGTAGAGTTTTTGCTGCTTTGGGCCCTGAGATGGGGGAAAAAGCAGCTGCCTTTCTCAAAAGAGAGAGTGAGCGCACCTGGGCAGGTGTGGAACTGCCAAGCTTCCTTATTCAAGCAGGGGCTACCTCAGGACAACCTTGGAGGGAGGCAGAACAGCAGGGCTTGGTATCTGTCAGAATGAGATGCTTTCCTTTAGCAACTTGGGGAGGACTATTCCCTCTTTTAGCCCCTCTTAGGGGAGATGAAGGACCATCCTGTGGCCTTTGTACAGCACCTTTTTTTTTTTTTTTTTTTCCCCAATCCTTTGTCTATCAAGTTCCTAGACACTAAACAGAAGAAGATAGGAAAGTCCCTTCAGTCTGAACACAGTGTCAGCACTGCCCCACTCAGTGACTGCCTTCAGTCCTTTGCTGTGAGATCCATAGAACCCTGCGTGCACTTGCTGGTTAATGTATGATGCACTGTCTGGCACCCACTCTGCTTTCGAATTAGGATTTATTTACGATGAAGGGAACCCTGACCTGTACATACATTAGATACTGCAGAATTATTGATTCTCAGTTGCATGGTTTATTGCAGGCTAGGGGGTTATCTCCACTAAAAAACTGGTTCCCTTATAGTGTGGCCTCCCTGTTGCTAACTTGCAGCTACTTCCCCCTCCTGTCTGTCTGCTGCTCATATTAAGGTTCAAAATACATTTTGTTGTGTTGTAAGAATTTAATGAGGCCTGCCTCATAACCAGTTTTGCTCACTCATTGACACATGAACAGTATGTGCCAGTTTTCAAGCCATTAGGTAGTGGTTTTAGTTAAGATAAGTTGCACTGCAGATAGTAATCCTATTGCTCAGTTCCAGCTTTCTAAAGCGTGGACCAGCCTTTAACAAGGCTCAGGTCACTTGTTTGGAACTATGCCCGTCTCCTAGTCTCATTGACTTAAGCCCAACAGCAGCACTGAATGCCGTATGTCATCCCACTCAGCGTGTGCCTGGTCTGCAAATTCAGTATGCCCGTAGACAGGCCTGCTGCTGTGGAACTGAAAGCATTCGGTGTATATTACTTCACTGCTTAAGTTTCCTAGAAATATTTGGTATCTCTTATGAACACAAGGTAGTTTTAGGCACAGAATATTTCATCTGCAGGAAGCAGAAGCTTCACAGTTGTACAGGATAATTCCTCTTTTTGTTTTGTTTTGGTTTTGTTTTTTTTTTTTAAATTTCCACATTACATGAGTATGAAGTTTCTCAGGTATTCAGATAGCATTCATTATCCAAATGACAACTTCTCTTTGGAAGGATATATAGTCTTTATTCATTTTCTGATAAATCCATTAGCTTGGCTGTGTGGCTAGTGACTAACAGCAGCCATTCTCATTCAAAATTGAACCCACAGTTGGTTCAAAGAAGTAATCTTATTTCTCATGTGTCCTTTTTTCATTTTGGTGTATCTCCTGGATTTGTATCCAGTCCTGCTATCTGGCTGAGGCAGTGATGGAAACCCTTATTATTTTAATTGGAGACCTTGGAACTAGACCTTGGGTCTAGAAAGGAAAATGAATTAAAAAGGCATTTGTACTTCAGAGAGGGAAATTAATCCTTGAGAAAGGAAAATTCCTTCTTTGTTTCTGTAGAAGGAAGATTTCAGATGGGTTTTTAAAATGTGTTTCTTCCCTGTAAGTTGTGTCTAGAAATTCAAAAAGCTAAATCAAGGAAAAAAGCTTCTTTTACGTTTTGGGTTTGCTCTTGTGAAGCACAAAATTGCTTTCTATTTTGTTTTGAATATAATTTAGATCTAGAAATAAGATTTACATCCAGAGACATAAGGCAGTCCTGTAGTGCAGGATTTTTATAAAAATTGGCTTATATAATTGTTTATTTGTAATGTAACAATCTGTTGGGCACTTTTTTAATGTCAAAGAACGTCATAAGCTCCCCATTGTTTTCTCTTTTTCCCCTTTAGGTGTAATGTAGCAGCAGGAGTTTAAAATGTGTTTTACTGAGGACAGAGTTAAAACTGCTTAAATCAGGGACAACTTGTACTGATTTAATTTACTCACAAACTCGTTGGAGGCCTGTAATAGGGATCCTTGTGAAAGGTTATTGGTGTCAGACATGGGCTAGTTGCAAGTTAATGCTTGGGACCCATTTAATAGTTCTGTAGATTATTATTGGTAATGAGCCTTTACAGGAACAGGTAAGATGAAAATGCATAAGAGAGCTTAGTTGTCTGACTTCAGGTGCTAAAAAGAAAGTTGAGTTACTATGCAACTGAGTCTAAAAGACAGCCACACACCTTTCTTTTTGGCTCTACCCTGTGCACTTGTCTCCTTGTAACTGTGTGTGCACGTAACCTTCATCTGTGGCCTGCAGTGGGTCAGTTATCGTGGTGCTGGACCTGGCAAGGCAGGTTAGAGGTGAACGTTGTCACGTATCTAGCTGCTGACAGATTTATTCATTCTTGTGGGGAATTAGAGTAGAGGATGAATCCCTAAATTAGTTTACTTTTATCCCCACTGCTTATACCCTTCCCTCTTGTCTCACTACCCCTACTAAAGCCACTCTACAGAGGATTTATCACAAGGTGCCTTAGGAACAAGGAGCATGTCTGAAATAAGAGCCATAGATGTCATTAATCCAAGGGATTTCTTCTCCTTGTTTCTCTGCCCATTTGGGTAGAGGGGAGGCACTTCCTAAAGCCAGGCAAGGAGAGAGCCCCTATAGGCTGTTCCTGAAGATGTAAGCTGTTCATTAGACTGCCTTGTTGCTATAAGATGAGTAGTAGAACAGTGTTTGAGTTTCCTGGCACTTTGCCTTTTAAAATCATGTGCTGCTGTCAGATATCAAGGAACACCAGAGGACTGCTCCTTTTGATATGCTGATGCTAAACCTGAGGACCAGAGGAATACTAGATAGACACAGAAGAGCATTCCTTGTGGCCATTCATCGTTTTCTCTAAAGAGAGTGTCTGAATCCAGCATTGTGAGTTGTGTGTGCTTATGTGTATTGAGGCTGGATAAGAGACCAAAGCAACAAAGGTTTTTTTGATCTACAGGTGTGAAAGAAAAGACTGTTTCTCCTTTTCTCGTATCTGGGAAATATTGGATGTGACAATGTCATGTAGATGTACCAGAACATCTCAACTGGTAGAATGAAAAACTGGGAACTGATTGTGTTAAGTAGATTGGCTAATGAAAGTGAAAGAAGCCAGTTTAAGCAGGAGTCAAAGTGCTAAGTCTTTTATCTAAATAAGTTGTTTTACAGTAAATACCAACTAAATAAAATTTTAGAAGATACATAAAACTGCAGAGTTCAAATACATCTTGATAGGAGGAGAATTTTCTGTAGGGTTATTCCACGTTTGCCTCCAAAGAGTCTCTGGCAACTTATTCTGAAACACTGGTGCTGCTGAAGCTGAAGATGCAACATCAGGCCGGGTAGACAGTGGGTCTGACTCCCCTTGCCTTTTCTGTGTTCCGCTCTGGATTTTACATGTTGCTTTCTTAGAAACTTCATCACAAGAAATGTGCCCTTTATCAGGCAGGGAGAGAGGAAGAATTTTGTGATCCACCAGTGAGGGTTATCTGGTTAAGCCCATCTGGACTGGGCTTAAAGTCCCTTGGGCAAGAAGCTGGATGGCAACCATTAAGTTCAGAGCTAAGGAGGCTTTGCCAAGTAATGACCTTGAAGTTTAGGAGCTGTGTTTAGAAATTATAAATAGCCGGAGATGATCTCCCTACAACCTCCAGGATGCCCTGGTGACTATCTGCTCTCCTCAGGGGGAAGCAGTCTGCTCTCACTCAACTCACTGCTCCAAGCTGCCAGCACAGTCTTTCAATGGGGAGCATCTTGTAGCTGGTTGTACCTTTTTCAGACCTATATTCTTGTGAACTGTGATGGTTGTCTGTCAGTCCTTATCTATGTGATGTGAAAATTTTTGATGTCCTGTGATTTCAAAATGGAGTTCTTGGCACCAACTGTTTGCTTTTCCTGTCCTCCCAAGATAAGAGTTTTAAATGGAGGAGAGGATATTTTAACAATGTGGCACTGAACCTCTTGCTGAAGGGTACATGAAGACTATATTTATAGTGTGCTTGCATTCCTTCTATGCTTGGTTTGTACTGTTTATATTTGATGTGTTGTGGCTGATTTGTAATAGTATATTGGAACTTATTCCCTTTAAATAAACTTTTTCACTATGCAACCAAGAACTTTTTCTTCTGTTTAAAGCAAGTGAGTGTCTTGATATGAAAAACTGAATTACAGACTCTCCAACAAAACAAGAATACACTAAACTTAGTTTTATGAGCAAAGAAGAGACAAAACAAGAATACAATTAAACTTAGTTTTATGAGCAAAAAGGCAAATATTCAAAAAATGTACTTTGCAGTGTACTGGACATTCTGGTTGCAAATGGATAGGAAAATGCTCTGTTGTCAGCTTGTGATGATGGCTCCAGCCAGGAAATTTTCTGTCTGTTAAAATGACTCGCTGGGCTTTTTTTTTTTTTTTTTTTTTTTTTAAATCTTCAAATTCTCCGCAGTGCTTGAGATTATACTGAATGCCTGAAGAACTGGAGAGGAAGAAGCAAGTAGCCAAGCTCGTATCATGGACACAGGCAGAGGTTGAATGCTTCACTGAAGCTGTGAAAAGCCGAAATTGGAATTCAGTAGTCTTGGTGACTATTAAGCAGGTATTCTTTATTGCAGTGCCGGACACACAGGGGATTGTTCCTCCTAATGTGCGTGCCGCACAGGGTTAATTGCATAGTTTATATACTAATTTTACATGCATATTCATTACATTCCTCAGAAAAGGCAGGGATAGGTAAATTAATTCCTGGAAATCATTTACATATTCTCCCAGTTGCACATGCTCAGTGATTTGAGTCGGTGGTCTTCAGGGGTTGTTCACTTCATCCACTCCTCTTCTTCACCTTGTCCTTTTGGTGAACTTTGGCTTTTACCTGCCTTATTCTGCTGCCAGAACAACACAGCTGGTACCTGCTGGCTCCCCATCCTTGAAACATTCTCCTTTACCTCCATTATCTCATGGTTCCCATCCTTGGCTATCTTCATATCGACAAAATGCTAGACATTTTGTCCCCTACATGCCTTCCAAGGCCAGCAACAAAGATAGGCAATTTACTACAAAACTCTCATATGGTTAGTAAGTTAACCTAAACCACAATGTTAGTACTTTAAGCTGGATCCTCCTCAAGGATGGTTCTGTTTTCTCAGGGCTATTATCACATTCCAGCTACAGTTGGCTTCACAAAGGTCTCTTGTTAACCCTTTAGCATGCCTTCATTACCCTCCAGTGCTTCACATTGGTACTTTCCACCTCCATTTGCAGAGACCCCCATAGCTATTCTGTTACTTCAGCTTTCAATCTGAAGGATTAAAAACATCTCTTGAGTTACCGGGTACTGATTAAATTATCTAGAGAAAGTGTGTTTGCCCTTCATAGCTCCTGATAGATGCTTGCCTATCAACTTTATCTTGCTATGAAGACTGCATTTACATGGCCTGAATGAAGCACCTGCTGGACAAAATGAGAAGTGATACCTGCAGCCCAAGCCATCCTTCCTCACTGGTCTTGCTATGAAGCTTGGTAGGATGAGTGCTGCAGAAGTTCAGTTGTGTCTGTTCTGGTCCTGTGTTTCTTAGGAGCACTTTTATGAAATAATTGATGGGCTGGAGCAATCATAAAGCAAGTTGATCAAAGGGATTGATGGCTTTGCCAAGTTAAAGATGTTTCATCTCATTTTAAGACCACTGAAGAGAAACCGTGCTACACCTCTTTGATTACCATGCACTATGAATCTCCATCCTTGTGTGTGTCTCAGGCATGTGGCCAAGAGGAAAACTAAGCGACTTGGTGGGGATGCAGGAAAGTGACATGCAATTTCACTATGTTAATGCCTTCCCATCTTTTCTGTAATTCTTGTGGTCTAAATGCTCTGATGACAGCTGCTTGGTGAAGGTCTCTCAGCAGCCTTTGTTGGCCCTGCCTGGGAAGTGACTCCTCCCTGTTGCAGCTGCACGTGGAGAATACCGTTCTTCGGCTGCTGTTATTGCTTTTAGTGGTGTTTGATTATCAACAGCAGTTCTGAGCTTAGTGGTGACAAACAGTCCATTCTAATTTAGAGTATCCAAATAGAGTTTAATTTGAGCAAGTGATAAGCAGGCAAAACAGCGCTGGGCGGCCGGGGAGTCTCCGCTCTGCCAACGGCGCGTGCTTCACCCCCGCCAGAGTCCTCTTTTATAGTTTTTTAGTTCTGGGGTCAACTCCGGGTTGAGTGGCTTCCTCTGATTGTTTCTTTGGTTCTGCTCCTTGTTGCTAGGGGGGTCTTTCCTTCCTCTTTGGTGGTCGGGGATGAAGGCAGTAGTCTTCCTCTGCGTTGTCCTCTTGATGACTTGTTTTCTTTAGAGCATGCGCACTACATACAAGCTATACAATCTAAAATATTTCCTTATAAGGCAATCAAGACTTGCACATCCTGTTTCGGTTAATGCAGGCGTTGCTTATTCAAAAGTCAACAGACGATTACAATGGAAACAGCTGAGTCACTAGGTCACAAAGGTTAATATAGTTTAACCTGTTTGATTAACAAATTGATTACACAAGGTTTATTACAGTGGAGCTTTTCATTGTTACACAGGTGATATTGGACGTGAAGTGGGGCCTCTGCAGAACACATACACAGACTTAACTACTGTTTAGGAAGGATCTGCCATGGCCCTGCCTTCTCGTGGTGGCAGCCCTGACCAGGGAATAAGAGAAGCAAGTTTCACACCTGCTCCTTTTCGTGAGAGCGACAAGAAACGCGTACAGATAGCACCACTGAGGAATCGGCAAACAAACTGTCCCTCCCCGGAAAGCGACGCGTGCCTGGGGCTCTAGCAACGAGTGCAATTTGCTACGGAGGCA